CTGCAAAAAAAAATCAGTCCCTACTTCAAAAGGACTTTAATTCCACGTATAAAACAAGGAAGAGCAGATGGATGCAAACAGATGGGAGGAGTATGAGAAAACAATGAGACAATATTAGCCTGTAGTACAGACAGTGGTCTCAGCACATCAACTGCTAATATATTGTCAAAGTTAGGTGTTCTTACTCTTTTCCTTTTTATCTTTTCCCCTCTCTCCTTCCTCTTTTTAATGCATCATGGCAAAGGAGAGTTTTAGGGAAGATTTTAAAAGAGGACCAGTATGGCAAACAGAGAGAGATTAGAAATGCTTTTGAGAAATGGGTCCTGAAATGGGAGCAGTAGGAGAATAAGTGTCAGGAATCATTTTGATATTGAATGAAGAATGATGCAGGGGATGAGGGTAGACTGTGAGGACAGGACATGCTTAAAAGCAGTTCCTGTTCGATGTGATAGAGCAACAAAGAGATGACAGAGAAAAATTATCTGTGCTGCAGTTTGAGGGATGACATTGAGATCAAATGTTGAGGACAAAGAAAGGATAGTAAGTTGTTCACATAGCTCTCCATATGACCAAACCTATTTTTTATAGGTAATATTACCCATAGATAGAAGGGAAGGAGGAAGCAAAAGGCAGAGATTTTTGGAAGGTCTCAGAAAAGTGGAAATTTCCCTTGGGTAAGAGGTAGAAGAATCAGTAGTGGACTTAAGTAATAAAAGCAAGGGGAATCTCTCTCTCATCTCTCTCTCTGTATATACATACATATATATATATATATATATATAAGCAAAAACATAAAAACATGATAATCTGTCAAAGTTTTGAAGATGGCATGCTAGTTTTGTTACTTATCTAAAAACTGGTCATTAGAGAAAAGCATGGATTCGGAATATGAAGAGCAGTAGCAGACATGGAAGAAGGCAGTTGTAAGCAGTGTGCTCATTAATTTGGAGATGAGAGGGAAAACACTGAAGTAGTAGTGGGTTAGGCAAAGGTTGAGACAGTGAAATGTGGTTTGTTTTGTGAAGGAAGAGCCAGAAAAGAATAAGAAATTAAGGATTAAACTGTAATGTTTGTGGGGTTTATATGGAAAAATGCCTGTATTCTAAACAATACAGGCAGTGATTCAGTGCTGTTTCCTTTATACCATGTGGTAACCACAGAAAGTTATCTTTTGTGCTAAAACTCAGTTTATGTTAGAAGTAATTTCTCAGCAACCTGCTGTTCATATTCAAGTTATTCAAATGCGTACTTTTGCATGTTCAGTATTCTTGTGTATTCGTGTCTGTAAACTCTGCTGAAGTTGAAACCAGTAGGTACCATGTCTGAAATAATAATACAAAGAATGCTAACATTGTGTTTTGTATGCTGAATGAATTTCAGTATTTAGGAAAAAGAAAATTGGAAAACTGGTGATTATATGGTTAAAGTTATAGAATTCAAACTTTAAACTTTTTAATAAAATCTGAACAGATGATCTGTGCTTTTTTTTTTTTTTTTTTTTTGGAACTGGCAGGTTTCAGGCCCTCTAATTGGCTTCCCAGCTTTGCAGAGTAATTACAGCTTCAAGCAAACTTTGTCATCTGTGGTTCAGAATGGTGTAAAGTAAACAGAACGTTTTGAAATACAGTTTGTAGTTAGAGTTGCTCAGGAGAGTTTAACTAGCATAACTATTTAATTTAGATAGTGGCATTTGTTTGAGAAAGATAGTTTCACAAATATTTTGGAGTGTGAGGGTATTTTCTGGGTGTGGCAATAAAAGTCAACCTCTGATATGTAGTCTACTTTTTTATTATTGTTTTAAAAAGAGAAGCTTGCTAATTCAGAAAAAGAAAATCCATTACGTTTCTTTTTGCTGGTTTTATTTCATTTTTCCACTTTTGATATAGATCCAAAAATGGCCTAAGTATTACAGATTTTTTGGAACAATGTTGTCAGTTTCTGCTACTGGTTTTGTATTTTGTTGCTTGGAACAAGAATTTTTCTCAAAACGTTTTATTTTCTCTATTATTAAAGGAGAACTTCTTGTGATTGGTGTTCAATCCCAGTGAGACTAAAAGCTTTAGGATTAAAATGTGTATTTCCAATTTGTAGATGGCTAACATACAAGAACACAAAGTTGGGTCTGTCTGTTTACTGGCTTACTCATCTTTCTGAATGATAATTTAGAGTTCCAACTGTTTGGAGTTGAGCTTCAGCCCTCTAATTACATATGTTTATGTGTAGTAGCAAACTTGAAGACATTATGGTGGAGTGTTCTCTCCCCTTGGTAATGACCCAACTATCTCTGGAGCGTCCTGAGCCAGCTTCTAGGAGCCTGTTTCACTCGTTCCTCGGTGCGTTTGCAGTTTCCAAACCATCCTTTCTCTCTAAAACTATTGTAGCTTTTTTTTCCAGGAGTTAGTACAAATATATTTTGGTAATTAGCAGTAACTGTGCATTAGAAAACTTGTCTTATTACAGTGGATTTTTTTTCTAGTTGTAGGTGAAAGACATCCACAAACAATTTTTATTCATATTGCAAACATGATAGGAATGTTGTTTATCGCATACATTTGTATACAGCAGCACATGAAGCATGTGGGTGCACTGAGTATCAGCAGACCTTGGTTACTTTTATCTGCTTGAAAAGGATGGGTTACACACCACTTTCAGAAATAGGTTGCTCCTCCACTGCTTTCTGGAAGTGTTTTTTCTTTTAGAAAGAAAAAATGCAAATCCGCTTAATTTTAACTGCATTCAAGGAAATTAAATATTTAGCCACCTTTTTAAGCAGAATATTAAAAAGACTCCCACTCTTCTCCATTTTTTCAAATAAAAAGCTTTTCCAGTGAGCACATGAGTTCCCAAATGAAGGAGGCTTCACAGAGAGTCCCCTCCCAACTCAGCTTTGACATATGAATGGAGAGTGTTTCAGCACAAGTAGCTTTGCTGGTACCAACTGTGGTGGTACAGCGTGGAGACAGAGGCCATTTCTGTTAATCAGGTCCCCAGTTATTTTGGTCTTAAAGTGTACAAATCAACATCTTGAACTGCACCGCTAAGCTCGTTATAAACTAGTATTATCAAAAAAGGATTGCTTCAGTATATTTTCAGTATGCAGCTGCACTGCAGGTCAGCCCTGGTATGCAGCTCGTAAAATTAGCACCACCAACAAAGGCAAGAGGAAAAAAGGGAAAAGCAAGTTAGAGAATATAGATAGAAATTCACTGAGTCTGGCACAAGTCTTTGGAGAATATTTAAAAAGCGTTCCCGGGAAATTGTGGCTGATAGCTGAAGTTTCAGGACTCTGGAAAGAGAGAGTTAATGGTTTCTGGTTGTGTGTATGTATTGGGTGGGGACATTAAGGGCTGGAAAGCTGTAGACCAGTCAGCTTTGTCTCAGTGTGTGGAAAAAGAGTTGATAAATCATAGACAATAATGAGATGAGTAACATATATTAAGTCTGTGCAGGAAAAAAAAAAAAAGCATGTCAAACCAATATAATGTAGTTCTGTCAAAGAATGAGGTGCCCTGTGAAATGGCACAGGTCATATAACATGACTTTGTAAGGCATTGACATGAATTTGAGTAAACAAAATGTAATACAGCAAAAGCAAGTGCAAGGTTTTATGCTAAAGGATGGCAAAGTACATCAGCAAAAGGTTTGGACCGGTTGGTAAGTGGCAGTTTGCAAAGAAGTTAAGTTGTAGATGAACAGAAGTCTGTTACCATGTTCAGCACCGATTGATTTGTATATGTGATTAATCATTTCAGAGCACGCATTTGATCAGAATCAGGTTTGAACAAGTGATAGCATTCCTATTTAATTACACGAATTACCTGAATATGACGTGTAGTGACTAGTTTTATGCTAGTTGCTGGAGAACAAACTGTACTTTTGCCAGAGCACTTTATACTATTAGCATGAGTAAAGAGTTCTAGCAAGTCAGAGTTTTGCATCGAAGGTATGGTCTCATTGAACCATTGCCTGAATTAAGGAAGCTGTGCTCTTGTGGAAAAGTAATGAGCAACCTAATAGGAAGAAGGCTATGTCCAAAATGATGTAACAGGAAAAATCCTAGGTATAAAGTCACGACCTGTGAGGACAGATTGGGTGAATTGATTTAGGCTAGAGAAGACTGGAGAGAGAGAAAAGTTTTTAGACAAAGAGGAAAGTTTTTAGTTTAGAAAAAAAAATATTTAGACAAATTTCTTTTTGTCTAAACTAAAAACTTTCTTAATTGTCTTTGCCTAAAAAAAGGGATAGGATAGCTGCTAAAAAAGAGGAAATAAATTCATCAACAGGATGAAAAGTAGTATGTTTAAATTGTAGGAATGGTTGCTCTGCGTGCTAGGAAAAACTTTCTAACTGTAGAAATTATTAATATTCTTATAATTTTGATGAAGCTTTTCTTGGAAGTTTTTGAAATTGGTACTTTTAGGGAGGTTTAGAAAAATCTGTGAGAGGTAGCATAGGTAGAGCTGATCCTGCCATGGGGCATGGATAAGAACTAAATGACTTTTGGAGGCATCCCCATTTTGGTGAGGGGGTAATTCAGTATTTCATAATTGGATTACATCATTATATTAACTAGCTTCAAGAGCTGAATTCTCACAGATAGGATATTTTACAATAAATCTAATCTTGAGATGACAACAGCATGGATAATTGCAGCACGATTACTATTGGAGGGAAAATGTCGTATTCCTCTTGCCAGGTGCAGATGGAAAAATGTGCCTGTGGCTACTGGTGCTACCTTGGCACAGTAGAGCAATCCAGGATCTAATATTCTTCTTAACCTCATAATACAGACCTGGCCTGCGAATGGAGGTCATGCGCTTTTTATGTGGGGGCAACCAACTCCTCTGACCTCTTTTAGCCACATCCAAGGTTGGATTGGCGTACTTTATTTCCGTGTGATTGCTTGATTTGTATATAATAAGCTTTATATATTTTATTTGCTCTTCCCTCATTAACTTGCAATATATACTAGAGGGAATACCATTTTTGTTTTTGTACAGAATGTCAGCTAATGAAAACAGAGCGACCAAAGCCAAACACATTCATAATCAGATGTCTTCAGTGGACCACTGTCATAGAGAGGACGTTCCATGTGGACACTCCGGAGGAACGGTGAGAGTTTTTATTTTTGCTTTGCTTCCCATGCTCTTTCTGGAGTCGCTGCAGCATCATGGCTGGTGTTGTGCAGTCACCAGCTTTTGGAAATGTCACATTCCGAGCACTTCTGGGCAGTTTATTTATTTTAAAAAATTATATGTCTGCTTCTGTAAAATATTATCCCACTTCATTTCTAGTGTAAGAACTGCCTACAAGTACATGGGATGAATGTGTTTAAATAAGCCAAAACTGTGTCATGATATGTTACTGAAATGTTAAGTTTTGGACTTCAGAAACCTGCTTAGTGAAGTATTTTCAAGTCTCGTTGTCTTAGATTTTCCTTTTACTCCTCCTTTACTTTTTTAATGGCCAAGAGCATATAGGAGATAGGAGATGGTTTGCCTTTGCGTCTTACTACCTTGGGCATTTGGCCTGTGGATATTTAATACTATGCTTGGCTTTACTGATATCTTACCTATTTCATTAATGAACTGTGATTTTCCTCTTTGTATCATCTACCTTTTATTAGGATATTTACTTACTCTTTTTTCCCCTCTTTAATTCTGCCTGGATATTCTTTCTCCACAGTATCTTTCTTTCCTGCATGCAGTGTCATACATATTACATCTGTGTATTCCGGAATATCGCTAGGTTCCTCCCACATCCCCTGCTTGCTAGGCAAAAATTAGCACATCCTGCACTGCATTTGGAGCTACCATGTGCCGAGTTTCCAGCTAGTTTGTATGTGCTGGGTCGCCAGCAGACAGAATAGCCATGGGCTATTATCACAATGGAAATTGCATAATATGCTCTGAGCTGTTTTATACCCCTAGCAAGAGTTTTCAAGTTTTCACTATTACAGTATTTACAAAATCAAACTCTGTTCATTCTTGTAGTATGCAGGGATTGCATAGTACAATGTGCAGGGATTTTGATGCTGATTTAAATCAAATTCACCTTTTATACAAAGCAGAACTTAGAAGGAAATCAAAACAATTAATTTATATGAGTCATCTCCAGAGAAGGATGAGAATTATGTGTTGAAACAATGTAATATTTGAGAAACATTAGGTAGATTTATTTGGATGTATTTTGTGAGTTTCTAATAGGAATGTTGGCTTGTTCATGGTAGGGAAGAATGGACAGAAGCGATTCAGGCTGTAGCAGACAGACTTCAGAGGCAAGAAGAGGAGAGGATGAACTGCAGTCCAACTTCACAAATAGACAATATAGGAGAAGAGGAAATGGATGCTTCAACAACACATCATAAAAGAAAGGTAAGTAACTTGACCGGAATGGTCCAGATGGCTATACCAGTATGCAAGGAAAGTGTTTCTGCATAAATTTCAGTGTATTACAAACAGAAAAGCAGACCATTATTTCAATGAAGGTGGACCACGTTATTTTTATTTATTATGCTATCTGATACAGCACTTGTCAAATACAAAGTTCAAACCTTCAGGCACGTGTTAGCATTCCACTAATTGCATGGAATTCATGATATTATTTTCATGTTTTCCTTTTGTTTGTTTACTCTTTGTGAACCATGGTAATAATATATTTTCTTTAGGCAAGACGATTTGGCATTTGCCCTCTTTCTCATGTAAATAATCCCCAGTGCAAATCAGATGATTTGCATGAAAAAGGCTACCAGGATTTGGCTTTTAATGACCTTGTTTGTTGCTATCTGGGAAAATATCTGCCTTAGTTTTCAGTGAAATAAGAGAGAACTTTTTTTTTTCTGATCACGAATTTACTATAAGTTGGAACATGTACACTGTTGGCTATAACTTACAGTCTTATCCCTAAGTCAACAGGATAAACACACAACATAGACTAGAGTTAATGCCACACAAAATTGGCTTGTTATTTTGTGTTTCCTCTTTTTTTTTTTTTTGGATGTGTAAGTATAGATTACTCTTGGAGAATAATGAGGGATTCAAATGGATATACCTCATTTACTACACAAGGTGGAGAAGACTCAAGAAAGCCCTGATACTGCATTAGAAAAATCCTGGTTTTATAGGACTGGTGTCATTCTAGCTATCTAGAAACTGAAACCTGTAGAAGTTTTCAGAGCAAAATAGTCTTACAGCCAATGTAGTTGAATGCCCTTGAATGCTGAACAATGAAAAGAAATACTAAACATCTGCCTTTTTCCATAGTGCATGTTTTTTTTTTTTCTATGAAGCAAGAATCATAGAAAAATCAGAAGCTGAAAACTGTCCTTATGAATATAATAGAGATTTCATAGATTTTAATTCTCTCATGTCCTAACTTTTGAGAACTTGTTTGCAATTCTAACATAGTTCTTTCATGCAGTTTCATTGCATCTGATTGTCTAGCCTTTTTCCTAAAGAAAAAGTGAAAACTAATTATACACAGCTGTGACAATGCCCTCATCATACATTGCCAGGTTGGAGCAGTTAGCATTGAACTTTTAGCCTTGCAGCGTAGATATTTAGTGCTTGTGCTTCAGAGTAAAATATAAGTGACAGCAAGACAGAGGCTGGGTTCAAGATGCGTCAAGCTTTCTGAGGGTTGGGGTGATTGTGTAGAAGGGACTTGGGTGTTTGGCTCTGTTAAAGATCTGAGCACTACTTAAAGCGTGTGTATCCTCTTAGTGGAATACAAAACCACGGCCTAACAGAAAGCATTTCCAAGATTTCAAAATTAATAAAGAGTTTATCCAGAATGTAGGCTCTTCTTGTTCACACTGCAGTGCATTTTCCCTGCAAGAAAAGGTGTCATGGGAATAGGAGGAAGAGGAAGATGAATGTTGTTTCTGTCTTGCACTTTAGGAAATGTTGAAGTAAGATACTGGAACAGTACATGTGCAGTGCTCCAGAATGCTGAATGACTTTGGCAAAAACAAACTACAAAACAAACCTGAAGTGAGGAATGGTGATATTCAACACCTAATAATGCATCCAAATGAAGTTTCTGTAGCCTGTAAAAGCACACGAGCACCATTTAGCCAGAACTCAAAATTCCACTGCAAATTTCTACAGTTTTGGAAAACTTCAGAAAAAAGATTCTGAGAAGATAACCATATTATAGCACAGTCATTTCCTCTGCATTAACAGCAAATGTGGAAAATATTTTTGTAGACTGTATTTTCTGGTTAAAGAACATTCTCAGAAGTCTGATTTTTATGAATATTTTTATAGTTGATAATCAGAACCATTTCAATTATAACTATTCAGTGTGTTTTTCTCTTCTTTTTTTTATATCGAGTTTATTTTAATTTCAGGAATTTTTTGCACATTGTTTCCTACATGTTTGTTTTGTCACCTGATCTTGCATCTAAGCCCAGTGAATTTTGCTTGTGCATGCACCAGATGGTATGTGTATGAGTAGAAGAGCATAATCAGATTAACAAACAAGACAGAGAAGTGGGACTGTTCTTCTCTTAAAAAGTGGTAAAAGGTTTGTAAAGAAAACAGTCTGAGAATGTGGAGCCTAATTTGAGTAGACATGACTGCAACATCCCTTGACAAATCAGTTTAGAAAACTAAAAGATTTTTTTGAAAAAAGTTATCGGTGTGCAACTTAAGATTTAGAGTAATAGCTTCACTTAAATTTTGAGGAATGGAGATTTAGTGAACTATTTTTATTGTTTTTCAATATCAGTAGACTTTCTTCCTGTTGAAATCAGTTACAAACTTCCAGTGGTATAATCATTGTGCATATGGAGCTCAGTGTCTGTTGTAGGGTATATTCTTTTGAATAAAATACCACTAGCTGGAGTAACTAGGTTTTACAGAAGGCTGAACATATTATGGTTATTCTGTTAATGCAGTTTTTGTAGGCTTGCTGCTTTTGCTTTGTTTACAGATTTATTTTTCAGGTGGTACAATGAACAAAGAATAGATTTTCAGAGGAAAACAAAACCAAAAAAAAAGCATCGAGGAAAAATCCCGATTTCTCAGAGTTCTATAGGCATATGTTTTTATCTTCTAAGGTCTTATGTTTTTTGGCAGGGACACTGAGTAAACTTGCATTGTATATCATACTCTCTAAGGCTTCTGCTAAACTTCTAAAGAATGAGAGCATCAGGACACTTCATTCTTAGAACTAGCACTATTACTTGTAAGCTGATGTTAAGCTGTTGTTCAAAATCTTGCAAAACTTTTACCTGTGTGAGATAGGGGCTATTAGAAGTGTTATTTATTATAACATTATATAAATTATATTTATTATATTAGAAGTATTATTAGATACCTATGTGTGAGATAGGTGCTATTAGAAGTGTTTCTGCTAGGGATGAAGAAAATATTAATTCGTTGAGGAAATTACAAATAAAAGTGTGTGTGGAATTCAAATCCCCTGCCTGACTGCAGCTAGTGCTGGCTAGGAAGATGAAAGAAAAGGCAAATTCTCATTCGTTTGCACAACAGTATTAAAGGTGTCTAAGATAAGAAACGGACACCCAGAGGATGTATAATTACTGTATATTAATGTTTTGAGGTGTATTTCTCCCTGTGAGAGTAACTTATACTACGAGTCAATATTGTTCTAGGAATCAGTGGGCATACAGAGAGACTGCCAGAGAAAGGCCCAGAGTCTGAGGGAAAGAATTTCCAGAGTGGGCTCCCGCTTCACAGAAGAGTGGAGAAAAATAATCCAGAAGAATCAGGACCACGCTGCTCCTAAAGGATGCTTCCTAAACTTAGGAAAGGGACTGTGATATAATCATATATGGTGGCAACAACTGTGACTGAGTGATCATTAGAGTTTTTCTGAAATTGTAATCTCAGCTTTGGTTTCCATCACTGGAAGTCCTGGAAGTTAGAGTTTGAATATATAAGGTATATATTTTGCACATTCGCTTACCAAATTATATGTCTGTGTGATTGTGCTTTTAATTACTCCTTTCTGAAAGACAAGACTTTCTTCTAAAAATCACCTGAAATGCTCTTGTGCAGTTCTTGAGATGCTGAGCAGAATACGAATTTCTTTTGCTTGGAGAAGGAGATGATTATTTGATCATCAGCAAGGCTTATGGAATGCAGTAGAAGATGCAAGTCTAGAGCCTGTGTTTATCTGGCTCTCAACCAAGTGTACCTTATCTCCAGTGAAGTTATTTTAGGGGAATTGGGAGGCACATCCTCTTTTCATTTTGCTGCCTGCTATGCATGTAAATTACTGTTTGAAAAATGCTGAACTGTTAAAAATTGTCCCAACTGTATTCATATGGAATACATCATATTTTTAATATTTATAATGGTATTTTTTCACTTTTTTACCTAGAGGATAATACAGATACATCTAATATACACAAAATGTGAATAAACAAAGCATACTAAGAAAACATGTTGGAACTAGAATAACTGTTCAGACTACTTTTCTGCTCAAGTAATGTAAGAATGAGAAGTACCTGCTTCTGTGAGAGGAACACTGCAGTTAGCGGATCATCTTTTAGAGCTTATAAATGCTTTTCTCTACGTAAAACCTCCCAAGATTTCCTGAAATACATTTTTTTGGAAGTATTTGTTCAAGTTTTTCAGTATCAGAAGAGGCAGTTTCTGAAGTGGAGTATTGTGTATCGGATTTAAGCTAGTACCTGTTCAGTTGTTACTCAGATTTCTGTCCATGCTTTTGTATGTTTTTTTCTGAAGATAGATTGAGGTGGTATAGGGAGATAATGGGTTTAGGGCCTGACGCTCCAGCTGCTCCAGTCTCTTTGCCTGGCACCCCTAAGGGTCGAGGTAGGGGTGCCTGACCCGGCTGCTTGGGCTGCGTTGGTGCTGCACCGCAGCCAGGAACCGCACGCTGCAAGATGCGCTGTGCGCACGCCCTGGCAGAGCTGGTGGCCCTGAGCTGGCGAAATAAACCCAGCTCTCAGGCCGAGGTGACATCTGAAGAGCCAGTCCGTTCCTACTGTTTTATGTTTTATGCTTAGGCTGTGATAGAATTTTTTGCACCAACCTTTGCATCTAATGCATAGGCTGTAGGGTTTGATACTCCTGAGCTAGCTGTGAAATAAAGTTGCAGAACTAAGCTGATTACTGACTCGAAGCTTTGTGCTTATGGAAGGGGCTAAACTGTCTTTGCATCTGAAATGGCCTGGTCGTATCCCTTCTGTGTGCAGAACTTTGAGCCATCAGCCTACTCAACCCCTTGTCTCATGTCTGATACCAGCTCTTGGATGCCTGTGACTGTGGTGTATTTATCCTGCAAAGCTCAATAGAGCAGCACTAGATGCTTGAAAGGCCTCTGTAGTTGAGTTAAATGAAAGGCTAAAATGTGCCTCTTTCTCCTTTGTCTAGACAGATTGATCAATGCACAAAAACATGCAACTAATCCGAACTCAAATTTTTTTGAAGTTATCTTCTAATGGAAAATATGCAGACTACTATAGAATCTTACCTGTATAGTATTCTGGTGAGGATCATGTATGATTCAAAAAAGCCATCAGTGCAGTGGCTGGTGTTAAAAATGTGGTGGATTAATAGGTTTTCTTAATGTCACTAATACACAGGAATTGACATACTCTCTTAGAAGTGGAGAGGTTGTGAAATACTGTTAAAGGCTAAAAATTTCTTTTGTATGTGCCTTCTAAAAATAAGCCTGTCAGTATACTGTACAGTAATTCAAAGAATTGTAATATCAGCATTGAACCATATTTCCTTGTGGTTCAGCATACAGTTCACTATTATGAACTCAATACATATTTAAGCTATTAAATACTGTAGGCAAGGGTAACTTATGGAAGTTTACCTGTTTATGTAAACTGTTCTTACCCTTATACTATTGGTTGTATTCAAACAAATTTGTGTGCATACTGGAACAGCATCATGTAAGTCTGGCTAATTCTTGTTCTTTCTTTTTTTCCCCCCACATAGACGATGAATGATTTTGACTATTTAAAGCTACTGGGCAAAGGCACGTTTGGTAAAGTTATTCTGGTCCGAGAGAAGGCTAGTGGGAAATACTACGCAATGAAGATTTTGAAAAAAGAAGTTATTATAGCGAAGGTAAGGGAGGTTGTAGTTATAATATTGTGTCAGTTTTTTCAGTGGCGTAATCAATAATGAGGTGAGTAACTAATGAGGTAACTAATACATGAGGTGTTTGTTCTTTTTGGTGGTAAATGAATTTCTATAGAAATGTGTGTGCATCTTCAGAAAACAAGAGTAAAAAGCCTTCTTTATGCGTATGCATTTTGCATGTCTTCTTCCACTGTCTTAAAATCTAGAATGTCCTTAAAGCACTGAGAGAATTTGCGGTGAGGGTAGATGATGCAATCCAAGTTTAAAACACATGAAAATGCGCTAGGGTGTATTACATACTTTATTTTTTCTCCAAGTGAACTGCAAGTATATTCAGATAAATAAAATCAGTTTGGTAGCCTGATGTTCCTTTCCTGCTATATTAGATTAAGTAAGAAGAGCGTTTTCATTTTTTCAGTTTGCAAGGAATAAGAAAAGCCTGAAACTGATGTCTGAAGAGATAATATTAAAATGACACTGTCCATTCATGTAAAATTTGTTAGGTTATCATTATTAACTCTTAAGCATCATCACAATTTTATGTAAATTAAACTTTATCATTTATGCTGAGCTTTGTTCGTGCAGTTCTGAACTTCCAAATCCCATTTACACAGAAGAAATTGAAAGCAAAACATCTACATTCTCTGTCATCATGATGCATTTAAAATTACGAGATTCAATAAAGAGATTTTTGAATTGGGACTAGCAATACCAATACTTCTGAAAACTGAATGTGAATAGCAACTGTTATGTATTTTATATATATATATATATATATATATATATATATATATATATATATATATATATATATATATATATATATATATATATAATTTTAAAATATCCTTCATGTTTTTCAAACAGAGGACTTGTGCAGCCTACATGTTTATGTCTGTCCTTGACCTAAGAACTGTAAATAACAACTCTGAAGAGCTGTTCTGACAATCATGTCTCAGATAGATTAGATCTGCAGCACCAGCTCATCTTATACTGTGATACAATACTCACTAGAGAGTCTGTTTGTAATGGGAGGTGGGAAAGTGGTGCTTGGGAGCTGTATATAGAAGGTTGTATAGCATCTGTCCAGTTCAGACTAAATCTATTGATCCTAAATTTTCAATACAGACTAAAATTTCACTGGTCAGGAAAGTGCTACCAATATTACAAACTTCGGGACAATGCCAGAAACACTAGCCATTGCCAGCTTCTTATGTCCTAGCTTGGTGGATCTCTGAGGTTATAAACAAACCTTGTATCTGTGAAAATGATTAGATTTTAATGGCACTCCTAGTAAAAAAGTAATGCATCTAATTCCAGCATGTGAATTTAAGTGTTGCTTTTTCTACTTAATTCTTATATAAACTTCACGATTCGTGTGGAGAAATAATAGCATCCCTGTTTTGCTGGTGGAGATAGTAGAAGTTTATATAGACTCAAGATTTATTCAACTGATAACTGCTGAAGAATGAGATTTCTAAAAACAGTCAGTATTGTCACATTCTGTCTTAATTAAACGCAAGATGGTCAGTAGCAAATCAATGTTTTGTTTTTGAAAATTAAAAAACAGAAAGTGCCCTAAAGTAAAACTAGTGGAAAAGATTAATTAATCCTCAACATGTGCTTTAGTGATAAGGAAAATTGTATCATATTTTAAAAGTAGAAGTGAAGTGAAAAAGAATTACAGTAACAATTACCATGGTGTAAAAAGTCTCTAAAATGATACAGTACAATGCCATGCATGTGCATTTTAACAAGTTTCTCATAGGTAAGTTTGTAATTCTGCCTTCAGGTCATTAACATATAGTGGAAGCTTTTGGAGTTAACATTTCCATAAACTGAGCCAACATTCATCTAACTTGTATTTTCTATTTATTTATTTATCTTAATTTTGGGCATTATAAAATATAGTGAGTTTACAAATATTGCAGCTATCTCCTTACTTTTTTATTTGACCTGCATCCTGAATCTGAGCATGAACTTTTTCTACATCAGCAGTTGGAGATGTTGTCTAGACTAAATTAGATCACTGAAGAGCAGAATAAAAATAGGTGGCATGTCTGTTAAAAGTTGTTTCCGTGAAGCCACTGTGTGTTACAGAGTGTTATAAACTCATTCCAATCGAAGCTGAAGTAGTTTATTTGGTCTTGTTATATGAATGTTAAACTTTGTACATTTTCGGTAACTCCCTAAGTAACAAAGGTACATTTTGTAATTTATTGTGGCTCTTTTTCTTGAAACCTGGTGGCCTTGGGGATTTTTGTTGGGTGAAGACTCAGCAGCTCCAGTTTTCAGAATAAAAAAGCACTTTAACACAGGGCTCTATCTTGCCTTCCTCTTCTTAGTGATTCAGGATTTTTGATTCCCTCTCTTTTCAATAGCGGAATGGAAATGGACTGTTATTTGACTGATAGAAAATACCAGTGGTACCTGAGGTTACTTGGGATGTGAACAAACCCAGATATTTAAGCTCTGGGGAAGCGTTGAAAAGTTCTGTGAAGTTAATGGAATAGAAAAAAACATCTAAGAATAAAGTGTGTTGTGTTAGTGTTGTGTTAAGATTTATTTTTATCAGGCTAGAAACATTTTTTTCCTGGTGCCGTGGAGCTCAGGCTTTTTTCCGATGCTCTTCCCTACCATTCTCCTTTTCCTGCCCCGTTTGAGGACGCCATCCAGAATGTGTCCTGGGGAAGGCAGCCTAGCTGGAGGGCTGCAAGGCGCAGGCTGAGGGCGCAGAGGCTGCCAAGGGGATGAGCAGCTCCCTCCCAGGCCGGGGCCTGGCATGAGAAGCAGCAGTAGGGGAGAGGAGATGGCTCTGCGCGGCCTGCGCCCTCCCGCCGGAGCTCCCGCTGCCGCCCTCGGTGCCCGGCAGGACCCGTTTCCAATCGCAGCGGCTCCTCAGCGCTCCCTCCTCCGCTTCCTTCCGCCCATGGGCGCCTGCTCATCTGGCCTGTCAAAAAAACTTCCAGGAGAAATAGCTGTGTGCTGACGGCATGGAGAGAGAGAAAATCCTCTGCGTATTTTCATACGCCGCAGTAAAAGCAGTAAATTTACATTCCTCCCCCCCAGGTGGATTCAGCTAAGAAAGTTACTTCATATCACCATTCTTTATATGAAAAGCTTCTAAAAATATACTGGGAAATCTAGACATTTCTCATTGAACTAGGGGTTTTTGTTTTTGTTTTTGTTTTTTTTTTTGCTTTTCATCCAGTGTGTAGTTGTATACACTCAGTGTTGTACTGCTGCTCAGCTAAATGGCATCATAATTTATTACTGCTAATTACTGCTGTTATTTTTTAACTTCCTATTTTGACAATTTTTAAAGTGTAATTTAAAACTCAAGACATCTGTGTTTACTTTGTAGTTTAATAATACCTTCTCTTCATATCATGGACTGATAGGCATGTGCCATTCAGCAATGTTATATTAGTATTATTTATTCTGTCTAAATATATTTCCTTATATAAGATGAATGTTACCATTTGAGTCACACTAGGCCCCCTCGGGAGCTGAGGCACAGGGCACCCTGTCACTGAGAGGGAAGCTGCCAGGAAACCCACACAGGTCCAAAACCTGCATCAGCAGCCATCAGTGTGAGAAGGATGGAATGAGTTTTCCTCCCTTTGGCCTGGGCCTCGCCGTGGTCCCCCATCATATCGATTCAACCACAGGAGAGAAGCACTATTCCTCACTAAATTGCCCAGCTTCTAATATTTAGTTGAAAATGTGAAAGGGAGTTCTGCAGCCTGGCTCCCTAGGCAAGGTCTCAATCTCCAAGAAGGAGTGTAGGTCATCTTGAGACTGCACTTTTGACTAAATTGTTTTGGAAATAATAAAAAGCTTTAAAGCCTCTTTTTTTTCAAAACAGAAATACTTGAGCTTTTTGTTCCTTTTCATGTTTTGCTAAAGGGAACAGGTTCATTCATTTCACAAATCTAGAGAGTTCCTCTTTTTTGAAGTATTGAATTTATAATTCAATAATACTACATTAATGATAATTGTAACACGATCATCATAACTAATCAAATGCAACTTTATATCTTAATTCAGACCTACTTCTTGTATTCTTTATTTCTTAGGATGAAGTAGCTCATACTCTTACAGAAAGCAGAGTACTGAAAAACACCAGACACCCATTTTTAACAGTAAGTATTAGGAATTAATTTGAAGTACACTGTAACAGGCAATTTTCAACATGATTGATATTCCATTATGACTATATTTTATAGACAAATGTTGAAATCTTTCTCATCACAGTCTGTAAACAATCAATAAATATCTTGTGTTTATGGTACACTTTATAATATGTATTTAAGAGTGCATTTTGAAATAAAGTTTGTAGTTATTTTGTAAAGCTTAACTGTCCTAAAAACAGAGCTGTCTAATTATGGAATATAACTGCTGTGTAATTTTTTGTAACTTTTTTGTATATGAGTCCTATTTTTTTAATAAGTTAGGGATTTTGCACAGTTGAAGTTTTTTTTTTTTAACAAAGAAATAGTAAGAATTGAGTAACAGCTATTGTGCATAAGAAATGCATGGTGATACAAAACTTATACACTATTGCTTCAATATCTGTGTCTTTATTAAGATTTTATACTGAAAATATTTTAAAGATGTACTTTTTAAAGTCATGTGTCTCCTTGTGATTTTGTTAAATGTAGTTCTACTTCATTTCATCTCTTGAGACGAAATCTGCATCAGTAGGTTTTCAGCAGTATCATTTTTTCCAAGCTGTTAGGTAAACTTTGATACATTACAAATTTTAATTAAGATAATGTTTTATATTATAATTTTAAAAGTATGCATCGGTAACATTGTGTAGTACTTTACAATAGAGAGTCCTTGGTTTGGAAGTGAAAGCAGGCCAGATATGAAGATGACTTCTAAGATTTTACAGGAGAGAGAAAGAAGGTGATGTAGTAATTGATCTCCACATGGACATTGTGGATGTGGATGTCATAAAATATTAAAATAATGAGTAAGGATATCTGGTACACCTGGGAGTAAGACAGAAATGCAGTATCGAATTATGTATTTTAGTAGCAATTTCACAATTTTTATACTAAGCATGCAGTTTACATATTAATGGTCGCTTTGCAGAAATGAGCAAAATGTGGGTAATTTTATGCTATTTCTTCTCAAACTTCAGTCAGAGTAATTGAGAGTGACAAGAACTTCCAGGAAGTCAGAACTGTTTGTCTAACAGGATAAAGTTGTTTATTACAGTTAAGAAATGAGGTTAATTCATGCTGATAATTGATTTGGTTTTGCTGTTTTCTCTGCAAGTCCTTGAAATATTCCTTCCAGACAAAGGATCGTTTGTGTTTTGTGATGGAATATGTTAATGGAGGAGAGGTAAGTTAAAAAAAAGACATTCTACACTTGTAGCAGTAACGTTACTAGGAAACATTTTGAAGAATATTGTTTTTGTGTGTTACTTCTCTCTCTAGCATCTTTGAAGTTGTTTTGTTGTTGTTATTCTTTTACAAATTTTTGTGATTGATTATTTCAAGGAGAAAAATACATAGATGTGTTTAATAACTGTACTGTCAAAAGCACTTTCCATTTTTGAAAAATGAAAACATTTTGAAAAATAATTTAATGAAAGAGAAATATTTTCAGAGCTAAAGATTTTTTTCTAATTGTTTTTTCTTCAAGCATACTGTACCATGCTCGTGTACAAAGTGGTTATAATCTAGTGAAAACAGGCAAAACAGCATTTATTAATCTGAATTTTGTTTCAATGCGAAATTTCCATTCTTTGCTATAGCCATTGTAAAAACCAGGAGAGAGAGTAGAAGGTTCCTACTTTTCATTATATCTGTCTCCACCACTTGGTCGGCACTCTGGAAATTTAAACTGAAGTTCAAATCTTTTTATGGTGTCTTTGATTTAAGCATGTGCTGTCTTTAACTGTTCACTGAAAAATAGAATATGAAAAAGGATGCTAGTCAAGTGCAAATAAAAAAAAAAATACTGTCTAAGAAGGCGTTTATCTATCATTTGAAAGGAGTTTGCCGTCCAGACCGCGTCTCGTTACAGCATGAACTGGGGGAAATTCCTTGCTTTGTGTGCTGTATGCTACATTGTGACAGGAATGGTCTGAGTGTTTGCCCTGGCTTTTTGGTAATTCTTAATTCAGGAATCGCTGCATCCTGGTGTCGTGTTCTTTATTATCCTTTTTGCTGACATTTCCTACATCAAAGCTTTAACCAAGTGCCTGAGAGCCCTGACAATGCCTGTCTTGCATTCACGACTCTGGCATTTTCCAGGCCCGCCTCAAGGCCCATTTACGTTCTAACTCATCCCTTGCCGCCAAGCGTGGTGCTATAGGGTTTTCATAGGGGAGTGTGTCTTGTTTACCTCAGTCTGTGTAAACCATGTTCTGGACAGGAAAGGCAGTGAATCATTCTGACTTGATAGGAAATCTCCCTCTGTGGCAGTGGGATAACAGCCTTCCATTGAACACTTAGCTTAGTTAGGTAGGATTAATTTCCCACCCTGTGCCACGTGCTTTAGGTGTCCCTGCTGGAGCAGTGGGGTTGACTAGATGATCTTTAGAGGTCCCTTCCAACCTCAACCATTCTGTGCTTATGTGCAATTCTGTGAAATTTATCTCACTGATACTAAGCCAGTGCTACTTACAGTGATTTTTGAAGACAATTCCTTGCAGACTAATAACATTCTGCATAGTTTACTCTGCATAAGATATTGTTGCATGCAATAAAATTAGAATTTGCATTTTCAAAGTGTGTTTTTAACATCAGCCTGTCATTTGAATGCCTGTCTCTGGAAGATATTTTTCTGTGCTACCAGAATGCGGAACAGAGCCCACCAGGAGGATTTTCAACATCTTTCGTGCTACTGAGGATATTCTGATGCTGGGTTTTGATCAGGCCTGAATCTTTTATTTCTCTGTGTTGAGTGGTGCTCCTTTGTGGCAACTGCTGCTTACGTCTTGCATCGTGGGTTTCTTCTTGGCAGCCTGCTTTTGTCCATTGGCCTTGGAATGATTTTAGTGCACTCCATTGAGAGTGGGTTGCGGAGAAATTCAAAGGACTTTCTATTTGTTAAAGCATTCTTGTTAATTCAGAAAGCACTTCAAAATAAGACGCTCTAAATTTAGTTAGCACTTGAGCTGTGGGTCCGCAGACCTCCTGATACTGCACACAGGCTATTCCCTTTTCCTGTTTCTCTCCACTGTGTACTATGAGTTGAATGAGGTTTTTTTTCCTTGCAATAGTTTCTTAGTGGTGAAGGTGTTGAAAACTCATTTAATTCTATGCTCATAGTAAGAAATTGACTGTAGCAATATCATCCTGATACAGGTTCTTCAGAGCTATACTATCCTTAAACAGAAGCATTTGTGCTTCTGTTTAAAATTCTTTTGGGTTGAAGTTTTCTTTTTAGTTAAGCAATTGTGCCTGAGTCAATTGCTTGGAAACGTTCATGGATTTTATGTCTTCCAGGAGCACAGTACTCAGTCTTCCAAGTGAAGGAGTTCTTTTTGAAATTTCTATTAGTATTCTTGACTCTGACCCAGATGAAAGCCAAGGAACTCCACAGTTTAGCCTTCCGCCCTACTGCGGTAATAAGAGCTCTGATCAGTACTAGGAGTCCTCAGTTCCTCTTATTGTGGTTAGGCAGAAAATAAAAAAAAAAGAACAATAAAAGAGAAGGTCACTGAATTACATTCTGAAGGAGAAGAAACTCTGTTAAAATGGTACTGAGCAAGAATCCTCTAGCAGGGAACAGCTAGATCCCTGTTTAATTTAATATCCGACCAGAATTATAGCACCTACCATTGCCCTTTATTTATGTAACTTCGTATTACTCAGTTATTAAATGAGCATGTTATAATGCCTGTTCTACTGATCCATGGTTATGCTTTTGTACTGTGTACAAATTATTTAGCTACCTAGTTTTATTTTGACTTCCTTTTAAAAAAACATTTTCTGTAGCTAAATATATAAAAGTAAAGCGTTAGAGATTTTTTTTGGCATCTTTTTTTCCCCCCTCAAACAAATTACTCAGGCACAGAAATATGGAGTGTGTTTTTTTTATACTGACAACTTTAACAGTTACTTTTCTCCTAAAGGACCCAATCTTGAAATCTTTGTTGTGGGCTGAAAGCTTCCTTTTTCTTTATTTTAGTGTAGCTGTTGGACTCCAAATGACCTGTTTAGCAATGGCTATGGATCTCTAAGGTTTAAAAAATTGAATAATTCAGATACTATAAACTATGGTCAAGACAGAGCTAGGAGGTTACTTCTAACACTCTGTTTGCTTCTCCATAGCTTTGTGATCCTGGAAAAGCTACAGTGAAGGAAGATCAAAATGCTGAGATTTCATTTTTATTTAAAAAAGAAATATGGCTTAGTTGAGATGACCTATTTCTGTTTTCAAGATTTTGAAATAGCATATTTTATCAGTGTGTGGTAAACAAATATCTGCAATTTTACATGATAAACTGTATTCTTTGTTTTGCTTCAAAACATAGAATACTCATGTAAATATTTTCAAATAACAAAGCTATCAGTACTTACAGACAAGCACAAAGTAAAAAAACCCAAATACTTCCTTTACCTTCATTTTTTGCTGTCCCTGTTCTACTAACAATTTAAGAAAAAGTAAAAAGCCATATTGATGTCCTTCCTGCAAATATTGATTTGTCCGTTTTTCCTTTTATAATCTATATAATCTGGATTACTATGCAAATAGTAATAGTACTTGCAAATAGCAAGTTAATAATATACTACAATGTTCCCCAAAATCCTAGGCTGCACAGAATGGTATGAATTGTCATATAAAAATGGTATTCTAAGAATGGCTCTTTGTTAGGGCACTACTTCAGGAGTATATGTTTCTCATTTTTAATTTCCAGTATTTTGCAATAAAGGTTTAAAAGCTTCAAGAGAGAAATTTATTACATACATTACTCTGTAGAATACATTGATTAAGTTGATTAATAAGTTGATTAATCTCTGTGTTTTGCACTTTCAGGATAATTCCAAATTCTGTACTCCCATTACAAGATTTAATTGGTAATTATCTGCATAATAAAATTAGACTCTAAAATTTATTCAGATGGTTTCTCCACAGCAGAACTCTGAATTTCTTTCTACTTGGCTTTATTTTTCCACAGCTCCTATTTCAGTTCATTAGACAAGAAAGAACCAAATGGTTTGCTGTAATTGAACAAGTACTAATAGTGTCTAGAAAAAAAAATACAGAGGATTTACAATGTATCTAATGGAAAAAAAAACCCTGAATTGTTGTAAACTTCACTATTTTCTTTGGAATGTGTCCTGTTTTCATTTCTTAAACTCTATATAAAGGAGAGTATATTCCTTGTCCTAAAATTCTTAACAGTTCAAAATGAGGTCCCTATATTGGGTAAGAATTTTTCTAGAAGTGGTGTAAAGTCTGAAGTGGTAATCAAATGATTAACAAGTTCCCGGTTGCTACGTCAAGTGAGCATGCACTCACTCTGTTACTGCAAACGAATCAAACCAACGGTCAAACATAAAGTGAGTTTAACTGCGGAGCTGAGCAAACCCCTTACGTGACAGCGGGAGTATCAGCTCGCTGATCGTCTCCCTAACATCTGCAGGTACTATATGCATCTGCTGATGCATATAAGGTTGGATCTTTTACATGCTTGGCAGCGTGTATGCTTGGCTCTGCAGTTGAACATACTCTTATAGTTATCTCTGTTTTTATTTGTTAATTTTTTTCCATTAAAACTTCTTATTAGAAAAATATCATGGCAACACTGCTGTACAGTTTTTAAAGGAAGATGTACCAGCAAATTTATAGGTACAGTCCTCTCCATAACTATGGCACTGTCATATGCTTACTTACATGTATTTGGATGTTACAATGAATGTATACCATTAAAAAAGTTATGCACACAGTGTGCCAAATTTATTTCTATTGCAATTCAAGTGAATTCTTCTCATATTTAATATCAGTAAATCACGGAGTGATGCAAATATATGAAGTTTTTCTGCTAACTTTCCGTCAGGTTTCTTCTTTTTGTTCCCTAGTTAAATACTAAATACTAAAAAAATACTTTTTGCTACAGTTGTAAAAGCAGCCTACTGGCATAATCATTCCAAAATAGAAAACCAACTAAATAATTAGCTGATGAAAATTTCTCCATGGAATTGGAAAGAAATTTGCTGTAGTTTCACAAAGTTAATTTTTATTACAATTTTTAAGTTTGCTTTTAGCATCTTTAGCATATATTAGAGTGTTTGAATTTTAACATAAATTTGTATCTCAATACATTTTTCACTCAAAACTAGCATATGTGGTTTGATAATAATTCCGCTAAGTTCTGTAGCAATGTGAGCAATGTTTCTACCAAATGACTGTGATGTAAAGCTCGCAGTGTTTTTCTTGTTCCCAAAGCAGTTTGTACTTGCTATGTGACTTGCTGCCTGCTCCACTGCGCAGATGAGTAAGGTCTCAGGTCCCTCCTGTTACACAAGTGGTTAATCACAAATCTGGCTTGCGAAGAAGGATGCTACAACCTGTGTATGTCTAAAACTTTTGCCAGGGCTCTGATTCCCAACTAGAGGTGTCTGCTTGGGGCATCCTTAGTGGTCCATTCCCCTGCCAAGTAGCAATTCCAGCAGCTCAAATGGGGAGAGTGCTCAGGGAGAATAACTCCCCTCCTTGCTCTGGAAGGCCCACATTGACATTGAGGGCCCTCTTAAACTGCCTTGTTTGAGTCATTCTTTCTGAGGCATGATCTTGTCAAAAAGGTCCTTATTATTTTGCCTTCCCTTCATTTGTGAGGGAAATAGGTAAAAAAGCAGGTTCTTCCATGCTTAGATGGTATGTGTCTTTAATTTATGCTGACAGTTAAGCCTTGGGGCAGCCTGTACACACTACAGTTGATTCCAGGTAGGTGTGATGACCTAATCAGAGATTGGCTGTTAAGGAGGGAAAGGAGCAGCAGAATCAATGGAAATGCCTACAAAATACTGATACTTGGTCATGCAGGAATTCCAGCCCTACACAGGAACTCTGAGCTTCCAAGAAGAGGCTGAACAAGCCGTGCAGGTGTGATGGATAAAAATGAAGCATTCTCTTGAAATCTAATGTATGTTAAACTACAGTTGCACAGTTTACCATGATGTCTTTGCCTATACAAATATAGGCAGTCAGAAGACTTGGATTTGTTAGGCTGAAAAGAAAGCAGTAAACTTTTCTCCCCCCCGCTTTTTTTTTCCTTGAAATGTGCCTGTCAGGGAAGAAGTTGACTTTTAATGTTTGAAGGGCTGCATAATTATATTTTGAGAAATTCACACACTGAAAATAATGAAGTAATTCTTAAGCTGTTTGGTGCCATGTTAGCAGTGTAAACTTCCAACCAATGCAGTGTGGTAATGACAGACTAAATGCTTCTTTCTTTTGTATGTAGCCTATGGTTTTGGATTTCTCAACTACTTGATATTTTTAGGAGTGAAATTGAAAAATATACATTGTTATTATGGATTTCCTTGTTTGTATGTAATTTATGAATGAACCTATTTTCTGATCATTAGTTCTTGTACTTGAAACAGAAACATCCTAGCTCAAAGCTGTAAGGGAGGAGGTCCATTTGGTTTTATGCAGAATACAGAAATATACTTAATAATCTTTGTTTAAAGACTTCCCAAGCTTTCTTAACACAGAAAAGGAAACTGCATTAAATAGCTAAAGTTTACTTTTCTTGGTTGTTCCAGGCCCTGAAAATTATTTTGGAGTTGGTAACGTTACAGAACTTGAGCTTCAGCTTACATGTTTCCATTGCAGCTGAACTTATTGGCAAGAGTTAATGACTAATACTTTTCAGTTTAAGAAGTGTCTCCTAATATACTGTGATAATTATCAAGTTTTGAAGAGATGAAAAGAAATGTAACAATGTATCAAAATAACATAGGAATAACAGTATATAGATTTGTTTTTATAACCCCTAAAGAGTTGTCTGTTTGCTTTTTCTAATGACTGCGATGGGTTTGGATTATGATTTAGGTGTTTTTTTGTAAAAGGCAAATTCACCCGTTCTATTTAAGTCTGTGTAAGAACTAAATTCCTTAGATTTCTTTTTTTGTTATCCATTTCAAAGAGAAGTTACTAATTAGTAAAAACTTGAGGCAGAACCACTGCCTCGGTATTCTAGTGATACTTCTCAATGGCTTAAAATAAAAATGTGAGGAAGTGGTAGAGGGAGAAGAACAGAATGATGCGGCTGCATCCTTTTTTTATTTCCTCTGGTAACCGAAGGTTAAATGAGTAGCAAGCAGAATGCCTTAAACAAGATTGGTATATTGATTAAAACGCTGATTTAACAGCTCGCTTTCTCCCTTTGGAAACCTGGAAAAGATAAGCCAGCTGCTGTCTAAGAGTGCTGAGTGTCCACTGAGAGTATACTATCTATCATCACAATATGGTGATGAGAGGTGTTTTATGTTTGTGTTAATTTCCCCCACTAAATCAGTAATTATTACAATCCTGTCCCTGCTGTTTACCCTGCAGCTGTTTTTCCATTTGTCGAGAGAGCGGGTGTTCTCAGAGGACCGCACACGCTTCTATGGTGCAGAAATTGTCTCTGCTTTGGACTATCTGCATTCTGGGAAGATTGTGTACCGTGATCTCAAGGTAAAAAAAAAAAAAAAAAGGAAAAGGAAAAAGAAAAAAAGTAATCAAATTTTTGTTTTTGTAGATACTGTTGGGACACACACAAAGTAATTATAAAGTTACACTATTCAGAACTAATGGGGAAAAAACTCGGTGTTCAGTGTAAAGTTCTAGGAGATACTGGAGGAGCCACTTTGATACAGTGATCTATAGAGGGATACATTCCTTGACTTTAACTTGATTAAAAGGAGAGATGCCATACTCTAATCACCCAAATGATACCATCTGAGGGAGATATATAAATTTCTGATCCTTTTCTTCACATATATATATGAAGTTATAACTTAAATTAGATTTCCACAAGAATCTCAAATTTATTTTTGTCCATAACTCAAGGAGATTGAGAAGTGGGAAAATATGACTGTAAAATATGACTGTATTCTGCTTACGTCACAAAAGTAGTATGTTCTTGTATGAACTTCTAAAACAGTTTAAAACACTACAAGTAGAATTTCAACCTAATTTTAAAATTGTTTCCTCTTGTGTAAAAGGAAAGATACATAATGCTAGATTGTGGTTCATCACAGAATGGGAAGAAAAGAAGAAAGAACATTTTTGTCTGATTGCCTTTTTTTTTTTTTCTTTGCTTTTGCGTAAGATGTGCTGCTTACTTCCTCCGTTGCCTGAAGTTGCTTACATATAGTGTATTACAGATACTCTGTGTTTGAGAAGGGAATTCCATGGAAAATGCCCCTTTTCAACTTAACTTATATGGAAAGAACCTCTATTTCCATGAGGCAACAGGGAATAGAATTCTTTTTTATTCCTATAAAAAGCCTTTAATTCTTTGTTTGACAGATTATGTTTTTCAGTTACACATATTCACTACTCCAGTTCATTTATGTACTTCTATTAGAGAAACTGAAAAGAGCAGTTGAAGGCAAGTTTTGCTCAGGGAAACGAACAAAACTCCAAGTACTGGTTTAACTGACTATAGCAGAATCTGTTGTAATAACATGGCATACTGTGACATTTTGGAAAAAAAATGAAATTGTGTGATCAAGAAATTAAATTTAAATTCCAAGTAATAAGGAAAGAGGTATTTTACTTTATAAATCATCCATTACATGTCACCTACCTATATCTTCTTTTATGAAGCTATTTCACTCAAAGGGAAAATACCTTTGAACTACTACTGGCTTTATGCACGCTTATGAAGACTAGGATATCATTGTCTTTGGTTGGCATTTTTAGTATATACCTTAAAATAAATAGAAGCATAACAATGCTTCTTTGTTGAGGTTGTACAGAAGTATGTTCTACTCGGTTTTCTACTTCTACTTTTTTGTATCTATATTAAAATTATTGCTAATAGCCTATTCAAAAGCTTTGATGTTAGCCATGTGTTTGAATAATCCTCAGTTATTACTGCAATAGTTTTCATTCCTGTTCCTTAAAAATTTCCTAAGGGGTTATATTCTACTTTCACATTTTAGAGCAAAGAAAATGTATTTAAAAAGCAATATAAAACATCCAGAAGTATGCCTACAAGTAGTACTATTCAAGAGATATAGGAATTACAGTTTTTGCAAGTACAAAAGGAGGAATTTATCTAGCATTTTTTCTTCAGTTGTAGACTCTCTTTTCCCACTTTTGTCTCTGTTCTTCAAAAGATTGTGGAAGAGGAAAATATTTTAAGGATTTGGTTCCGAAGAATGATATTTTTAAAGGCTGTATATTAAATGTTGAATGGCAGTACAGTAAGTTAAATTTATCTTCATAAATGAAGATCATGTATGAACAGAGGAAATGTATGAAGTCTTACTGAATAATAATCATGACCATAGTCTTGAGTTGTATAATTATGTCTTGAGACTATTTAGAAAGTGACTTTTGCTTACTTTCTGTGAAAAAGGCACAAAACAAATTAAACTTCAAATTGAAAGGCCATGCTTTCATTGAGCTATGATTTACTACTATAAATTGTAAAATAATATTAAGTAAATATTTAAATGGTATAACAGTAAATGCTGTTAAATGCTGTTGTAAGTTATAGGCTAATTATGTTGCATTGTAAGCCATAACCTCCTGACTTAAAAAATAAATAATATGATGCATCAGCCTTTCTTTTTAAGAAATACTAAGGGAACATTTTTTTCCCCAATGCACAGTTAGAAAATCTAATGTTGGATAAAGATGGACACATAAAAATTACAGATTTTGGACTTTGCAAAGAAGGGATCACAGATGCAGCAACTATGAAAACGTTCTGTGGTACTCCAGAATACCTGGCGCCTGAGGTATGATTTAGAATATATTCTTGCAATACAGCATAAAATGTTTATTTTTCATGTAATTGTGGACTATATTTGTGTGATGGAAACTGTTCATAATAATTCATCAAAGAACTGACTGATTAATTTTGTCACTAATACTACCCAATTTTTATTCAGAATTGTATATGCTACTAGTCTTTTGTTTTAGTGATAGTCTGTACCCATATTGATGCTGTGGTTCTTAACCTTCATAATGGCCTTTAACATGCATTTTCCTTTACATGCTTGTTGCCTTTCATTGAAACTTTTATGTTCCAATTTTTTCTTCAGCATAATTTCAGAAATTTCTTCAGAAATCTTCCACCTCCCTCATCACTTGGAACATATGAATCTATTTAACTGAGTG